AAAAAAAAAAAAAAAAAAGGCTGGAATGGCTGCTTCACATCCCAAGCTACTAGCACCCAGCATCCATCATTTGGCCTTCGTGTTTTGTCAGTAAAGAAATTAGAGTATTATTAATCAACAAATCAGTCCAATAAGCCTCATTACCATTAAAGAAGAGAAAGTAAGCTTTATTTATGCAGTTATAAGGCATTTAAAAAACAAAGAGATTATTATTAATACTTGAGCCTGGCAGTCTTCCCAGAGTGTAAACCGGCAAGGGCTTTGTTCTTGAAGAGGCGACACAGCAGTTACAGATTCCCGCCTCCCCTGCTCCAAGCTCCTAATGTGTGGGACGCCGCCTGAATATTCAAGGAGGTTAGGGGGGCCCCTCTGCCTTCAGGGCTGTTTGGGGGAAACAGCAGTGGGTTGGAAGTTAGGGGGCTAGTGTATTTTGTGACTCTGGCCAAAACAAACAGCCTCTCTGAGCTGCGGTTTCTCAGCAGGAGCATGTTAGAAACTGAACTAAAATTACTGGTAGGGCTTTTAAAAAAAGACTGGGTCTCCATCCCATTTCAGACCAACTGAATCAGATCCCTGAGAGCGGGGCCCAGGAAACGGTATGTTTAAGAAGAGCTCCAGGTGATTCTAGAACGCAAGCGGGGATGGCCAACCACAACCTGGTGGTTCTCTAGGTCCATCCTACCTTTGGTCTTATCAACGCTTGGGATTTCTTAGAGAGTTCTCATCCAGGGCTCTCAGACACCAACCAATGCCTGCAGTGGGCCCACCGGTAACCTAATGAGTGAAGCGTACCAGGTACAGGAAAAAGATGCTAACCTGCCTTGAGACTATGCATAACACCTGCTGGGTTATATTGTTTTTAAGATATGGTATAGGAAAATTCAAACAGCCAAACCCAAAGTATTTGCCAGCCACAGACAGCCCACAGGCCCTGGTTTGAGACCACTGATAAACAGACATATCCCAGGCCCCTGTAGATGGCCAACTCACTGGCCTGTGATTCATGAAACTGCACGCTTGCTGGTGACACACACCATCCCTTGTTTGACTTCATATCAGAAGCCCCAGGTGCAGAGGGGACATTCAATAAACGCTGTGTGTATGTAGAACAGGTGAACAAAGGTGTATGAATGGGAATGGGTGAGCCCCGGACATTCCTTAATTCTTCAGTTCTACACTGTGTACTAAACTAAAAAGTGTAGGTGTCTAGGTCTGCACTGTCCAATACAGCAGCCACTGGCCATGTGTGGCTATTGCGCCCTTGAAATACGGCTAGTCCGAATTGCTATGTGCTGTAAGTATAAAATATATAACATTTTAAAGAATGAGAATGAAAAACAAGAATTTAAATGTTTCACTGATAAATTTTATATTAATTACAGGTTGAAATGATATAATATTTTGAATATTTTATGTTAAATAAAATATATTATTAAAGTTAACTTCACTTGTTTACATGTGACTACTAGAAAATGTTGAATACCATATTTCTATTGGAAAGTGTTGCTCTGAGCCATTTTTTTTTCAGGTATGTATCCACGTCTTTCTTGTGCATGCCTTTTTACCCCAACATTTCTCTCCCACCAATAAACTTTATCCCCCTCTCTTCTCCTCTCCTTCTCATCTTCTAGAAGGATGATAATATGAGAGATGGGGAGGGAGCAGGTATTTAGATGGAAAAAAACTAGTCTTTCCCTAGGGCTGGGAGGATAGACTGTCTATTCCCACCTCCCACCCACTGGCCAACATGTTTCCTTGTAAATGACCAGAACAACTGTCTCAGCTCCCTCAGCCCAAGATTTCCTCTGCCTGGATACCCTTCCCATTGCCCACTCAGGGAACTGTTACTCATCCTTCAAGACCAGCTCAAATGCTGCCTCCTCTGTGAAGCCCGCCCCAATCTCCCAGCTGGAGTCAAGAGGACCCCCTCTTGCCTCTCTTAGTACTCAGCTCCTATTACTACAGTAACACTTCTCTCAGGAACGTTCGTGATCTTTTGACCAGCTGGTCTCTTTCATAATACATCTTGAGTGTGGGGCTGGTCTACGCTTCAGTGTGTTCCCAAGGTCTGACTCAAGATCTGACACATGCTGAATAAGTGTTGGAGGACGGACTGGATCTTCCTTGTCATGGGGAAGTATCTTTTTTCACTCCTTCATCCCCTCAACAAATACTTCCTGAGGACCTACCATGTATCAAGCATACGAAGTACAGTCTAGGCCCAGAGAATACAGCAATTCTCAAATGCCTGCTCTCAGGAGCTTCCACGCTAGTGCTGGTAAGTACCTTGCGTCATCCTGATGCCCAGATGTTCAATAAATATTCATAAATGTTGCTGCTGGAGAAGAGGAATGATGGGGGTGGGGGGTGGGGAGAAGTTCCTGTGCTCCAGAGCCCATCCTTCTGAAAGGCACAGGCCCTTATATCTGCTACTGGTCTCACTAGAGACATCCTTAACAGAGTCTTTACAGCCCTCCACTTACACCGTGTACTCAAGAGTTTAGGAGGTGCTGTAGCAGTGGGACAGTAGATATTTATGGATTCTGATGGAGACGGAGGAGGTTCTGAATTGACCCAAGCACAGCTTTCCCTTTTCTTACAGGCATAGCAGAAGTGACCAAGAAGACTGGTAAGACTTTCAGGATGATCTAGAAAGAGGAACAATTAAAAAATTTTTTTTAACTGAAGCCATCACATTCATTAAACAAAGGCTCTCCGCCCTTCCATCCCACAGAGTTTTGAGTGAGAGACATACATTATAAAATACATACAAGTGACGGACAAAGGCTCCCAGCACTCGCAAGTGAGCATTTCCTCTGAACGTCTCATGGAGCCTCAAGCTCAGTCCACACAGAACCAGCTCCTCGTTTTCTCTCCAGTCTCAGAGAATTGAGATTCACGCCAGCCACCATCACCACATCCCCCGGATGCTGCAGAGCCTTCTCGCCAAACCCCGTGAGTCTGCTCTGGACACGGTCCCCTTTCCCGTCCCACCCCGATGCTCTGCAAAGGACACCCACCCTGTTCAGATCCAAAGATGAATGTCCTAGCATGAGAGGAATGTCAGAAACGCCTCACTGCCTAGCCCATAGTCCTGATTCTGCGAGTTGGAAGGATGAAGGTTGATGCTGGGTAACTATCTAGAATGATGGAGTAGGGTGTAGGGAATAAGTTTTGGAGTTAGACACACCTGGCTTCAAATCTCAAATCTCTCACTGCCTTGCTCTGTGACCTAGGACACATCAACATCTTTGGTCCTTGGTTTTCTCATCTGTAAAAAGGGATAATGACACTGAGCTCTGTGGCACAGACTCTCTTGGCCTAAATACTACATACCATAGAGAAAAAATAATGTAAGCCATGAATAGCACTCACACATAATGAGTTCTCAGTAAATGGTAATGAGCTAAAAAGATTATTTTCAGATAGTAAGTCTTTTTCTCCTTAGTGAAAACTACCATTCCTATAGAATCCTGGTCCTGCTCCGGATGAAACACTTCATTACTGGAAAGTTCAGATGCCTGTATAACCTTCTCTAAATTGATCACATTTTTGTGTGGAGATAATCTAACCCCCCTTCTAGTGTAACTGAGATGGAAGATCCTTTCTGTTCCTAACATGTGAGAGCCAGTTATCTCTAGCTTTTTTAGGCTTTGAGCTTCTTTTTTTGTTTCGTTTAATTTATAAATTTATTTATTTTATTTTTGTCTGTGTTGGGTCTTTCATTGTGCGTGGGCTTTCTCTAGTTGTGGGGAGCGGGCTTCTCATTGTTACGGAGCATGGGCTCCAGGTGCGCGGGCTTCAGTAGTTGTGGCTCTCGGGCTCTAGAGCACAGGCTCAGTAGTTGTGGCGCACGGGCTTAGCTGCTCCACAGCATGTGGGATCTTCCCGGACCAGGGATTGAATCCGTGTCCCCTGCATTGGCAGGCGGATTCTTAACCACTGTGCCACTAGGGAAGCCCAGGCTTTGAGCTTCTTTACGTCAATGTAAAGAAGGAAACATAATCAGTTATAAGATTCCCATTCTTCAAGAGAGAAAAACAGAGTGTTTAGGAAAAGCACAAACCATTCCAGTACTGAGACCAGAGAGAACGTTCTCGCCTCTGAACTAAAAAGAGAGAATTTGGGATAATACAGGGATCGGCCAGCTTTTTCCTAAAGGGCTGGATTGTAACTATTCTAGGCTTTGTGGGCTATCTGATCTCTGTGGCAACTGCTCAACTCTGCCACTGCGGCGCAAAAGCAGCCACGTAGACAGGATGTAGACACATGAGTATGACTGTGTTTCAGTAAAACTTTATTTACAAAAACAGGCAGCTGGCCCCTGGGCTGCAATTCACTGACCCCTGGTGTCATATGATGAACCACAATCCAGCTATGTGACTTTGAACAATTTACTTCTGCTCTTTGAACCTTAGTTCAAAATACCAAAAGATGGGAGTTACTGGCTTGATTGAGAACTAAGTGAAATAAAAGCTAGCCAACCCTCATTTGTGGAATATGTATTTGCGAATTTGCCTACAATTTATTTGTCACCCCCGTGTCAATACTCGCGGGCTCTTGTGGTCATTCAGGGACACACAGAGGATGGGGGAATTTGAGTCTCCGGATGCTCGAGTTCCCAGCTGAGGCAGAGCCAGGCAAGGCTCTGTGGTCTAGTTTCTGCCCTGATCCTGTAAACAAGTATCCTTTTCGCGGTCTATTTAGCGCCACATTTTTCACATTTTTGTTGGTGATTTTGCTGTTTAAAGTGGCCCCAGGCATAGCGCTGAAGTGCTGTTTAGCGTTCCTAAGTAAGAAGGCTCTGATGAGCCTTCCGAGAAAATACGTGCATTAGATAAGCTTCCTTCAGGCATCAGTTACAGCACTGTTAGCTCTGAGTTCAATGTTAATGAATCAACAAAATATACTTTAAAAGGTGCTTTGACACAGAAATAGCCACGAAAAAAGATGATGTATCGATCAGCTGATGAAAATGTGACCAGAGGCTCGCAGGCACCTAACTCTGTATCTCTCTAGGAGCAGTGGTTCAGCGTTCATTCATTCAGTGTTTGCGGCTACTTAGAACATAACTGCCAGGAATAAGGAGAATCGCCTGTATAGGAACATGTTGTCCAAAGCAGTGGGCGACAGTCATGCTATTACAAAACTCTCAGTAAGTAACAATGCTGTGACGATGCTATTCTTACTAGTGAATCACAACAGTCTTATCTCCTTATGCTGCCACGATGCTATTACTAATTAACCATGCTACTTCAATTCTATTTGTATTATTTAATGAGTGCTATATTGCTGTTATTAAGTGCTTGTAGACAAAATCAGCTAGAGAATGTGTTCATGTCTTTTTTTCCCCTTGACATACTGCAGGCAAAATACCAAAAAGAAAGCCTTTCTACTGACTATCTTCCAGGGGCTTCTGCAGACAGAAAACAGAAATAAGGGCTCTCTGGAGCAGTGATTTGGGGTAACGGTCTGAGTGGCTCCATCCAGGAGAGAAGCAGGGAGCTGCACCTGGTGGGGACTTGCGGCTGGGCCCTCCCGGAGAACACAGGCCTGTCCAGGACCTCCCTGCTCGGAGGGCCGAGCAGACTCTGGAAAGCAGCATGCGTCTCCTTGCTGGCCTAGTTAAAATGCCAGCCTGGTATTTATTTATTTGCTCCCACACAGATGCCAATTATGGGGGGCTGGGGAAAGAGACAATGGCCTCGGTCTGATTGACAACGGCTGCTAAACAAGGGGCCTCTGTGGCATGTTTAATGAAAAGACCACTGTGTTTTTATTGCATCTATTTGATTTTAGAGTGTCGTTTATAAAACAATTCAACGGGCAGGATTAACTGCTTCTGGGCTTTCTCTTCTCCCTGCGGCTCTGTGGCTGTCCCCTCTCTCTCCCCCCAGCAGGTTCCTTTCTAGACCTTCACGGGCCTCACGGAGAGACCAAGGCCTGCACAGAGCCTCGCCGGGCCAGGACTCCCCAGTGGCTCCTGGATTTGTCCCCATCGCCCTCTCTCCCCAGCACCACCTCTAAACTGGCCGCCAACAAGAGCCTCTCAAGCTTGCTTCCCTCACTTGTTCATGATCCAGAAGGCTCCTTCCCCCACCAGGCTTTTGGAAGCCTGTGGGGCAGGTCTGGGTTGTGAGCCACAAGCCAGGGAGTGTAACTGGTGCTTGGGGCCTGGGGGTGAGCACGACACAGAACGCGCCATCCAAGATGATCCCCCAGTGATTTTACTCCCCTTGCCACCTTACAGCCAAGGTGATTTAGTTTCTAGTCCCGCAATCTAATTACCAACGTGCATGGTATGTGAATTATATCCAAATAAATCTGCTATATATATTTTGAAAATCCAGTTACCATACTTCCTTACTCAAAACTCTTACATGACTAGGTATCACCTCATACAAGCTCCTCAAGTTCTAGGCCTGTCTATCTCCCCCATTTATCTCTTCTCGCTGCTCCCCACTGGTTCCCAGCCCCACTCCAACACCCCCTTCACTTAGATTCCAGCTCTGTCTGCTGTCCAGAGCCTATCTTCCAGCTTACCTCCTTCCCTGACAAATGCCTACTCATCCTTCAAGGCTCTCAAGGCATCACCTCCTCCAGGAAGCTGACCGTGACTCCTCTCATCCTCAGGCTGCCTCTCTGAGCTCCCCTTGTATAATCTGTATAATTTGCAGGGCAGTTTCCCTACTCGACAGGCCAAGGCAGGAAGCAGATGGGATTCAGTGCCCAGCAGAGAGCCAGGTTTACAGAAGCAGCCCATCAGGAGGGAGAACAGCCCCTCTCTTCCCAACTAGAAGCAGCTCTGCCTCTTCCTGTTGTATTTATTCAGATTTCATGAGAGAATTTGTTTGAAGAAAAGTTCTGTCACAAACATTTTGGAAATGTCCTAAGTCATTAAGTTCGCCTGATGTGGAAACTGAGACAAACTCAAACTTCTTCATGACGGTGTTAAGTCAGTCTGAGGGTAAAAGGCCTGCAGGTAACTGTACACCTCACTGGCCAATGAGGACTCTGAGATCTGGAGTGAGAGAAAGCTGGAAGGGGAAGGTTCAGACTGCCCTCAACAGCCAGCTATCCTGACCTGTCACATAAGCTTCCCAAGAGGACTCATGCCTTGGAAGAGGCCACGGAATGTTGACTAGGAAGACAGGTTTATGCTTCTAGAGCCTTTCTCGTGTCTTTCTAAAGGACTTCAGAGACTGTAAAGCCATTTGCTCCTCTGGGTTCTTGTGTGTCTGTGCATTTATCTGTACCTTCCACACCATTCCAGAATGTTCTATTAACCGATCCTTTATCTGTAAGAGACCATGGGCTCTCTCTGGGGAAGAGGGGGTGAACTGTGTTCATACTTGTCCCCTGAGGGACACTGGGTCTGCTGAGGCCACCTCTTCATCTTACCACAGGGACCCCAGGTCCAGCCTGCAGGGGGATCTGACCAAGGCACCCAATGTTCAACGGTGGAGCTGGGGGGAACCCAACTTCCACTGCTCACCCACGAGTCCTGGACTTGGCGAGTGGCACCAGCATGGGCTTCTCAGCACACAAGCTTCCCACCGGGGCTGGGGGCAGAGGGAGTGGTGGTGTGTGACCTGGCATTGCCTCTTGGGGGAGACCACCTTGTAACCATATTCCCCAGCCCCAGAAAAGGGAAGCAGAAGCAAATACATATTCACTGTGCACTAAGCACCAACTATGTACCAGATACCTTGTCTCACACACACACACACACACACACACACACACACACACACACACAGCCTATAGCCAAGTAGCATGATAACACAGGTTATCTCACTTGGTTCCCATAACAACCCCAGGAGGTCGCGATTTCTGTCCCCATTCTCCAGATGACAAAATCAAGGCCAAGAGTAAATGGCAAAATAGGGGTTTTCAGACTCAAGTCTTCATGACTCCAAAGTCTGGGTGCTTCTAACACCACCTACATCCCCAACCTCCTGGGCTGACTCACTCCATCTTGAGCTCCACTTCACAGAATCATGAGGTCCAGTCAGTGCAAGTTCAGCCCCTTTCAGTAATCATTCCCTGAGAGCCAGCTGGATGTGATCCCCCACCCCAGGGCCATGGGACAGAGATAATTAAGGCACAGTCCTGCCCTCCCAACGTGGAAAGCCTTCCTTTCAGCAGGAAGTGGTGCATGCTAGGAAGTAAGGCAAGGCAAAGACTTCAAAAGCAACTAGCGTCTACTGAGTGCTTACTGTAGGCTAGACGTGTTCTGAAGGCTTTTTATTGATTCCTCATAACGACACCATGGGGATATACTATTGTTATTCCCCACATTACAGATGGAGGGATTTGAGACTCAAGGTGATTTTGTCATCTGTCCATGGTCACACTGTTGTGAGGACAAAGGCCTGGCCAGGTCAGCCCAAAGACAAGGTCTATGCTAGAATCAACTGTGCATTATACCCGAGGGTCAAGAAAGGCTTCTTGGGAGCAGGTGGCTTTCTAGCCCCAAATAGTATTCCAGTCTCTTTCTTCTAGGACTCCTCACAAAAGCAAAGGTAATTCACTGAAGATTTTAAAAGTTCTCCCCTGATTTTGGTCCTAAGAAACACAACGTTCTCCTCTAGTGTGCCACAGGCATTGTCACCACACACCTCCTGGGTTCTTCCGCCTTCCTCACCCTGCAAGGTCCAGATCACTGCCAGCCTCCCTTGGAGGCTTCCCCCCTCCATTTCAGA